CTACCTACCTACCTACCTACCTACCTACCTACCTACCTACCTATCTTTTTACTTATCAAATTTTGATACTGCCCATTTCACTATCCAAACGATTCTGGGCAATTTACAGAAACAAATAATGAAACCATATAAAAGACATATAATTATAAACAGAATTATAAAGAGAATGAAGAACAAAACAAGGACAAAGTTAAAAGAGAAGTTAAAAAAGCGGAGGAAGCTCCCTCGGGACACCAATCATCCCTGTGGTTGCGTGCCAGTCTTTGATCGTCATGCCAATTGGCAAAGCCAGCTCTTCATATTTTTCCGAAAGTTCAGCAAAATGGGGGCAATTGTGAAGCCAGGATTTTCCACAGGGCAGGAGGCAATTAGAGTAGAGACTGTTTTCTTAGACACTATTAGGATCCATAATATATCCTCCCTCCTTGCCTGCCTGCCTGCCTGTCCGAGTGGGATGGATCGATGTAATTCGGACAATACCTCAGGTAACCTGGTCTCAACCAACATCTTGAATTGGACCTGAAAGAAAACCAGCACCTAATGCAACTCATGCAGCCGAGGTGTTATATATACTGTCTTCAGAGTCCCAAAACTGGTTGCAGAGCCTCATTCTGCACCAGCTGCTGCTTCTGGATACTCTTTAAGAGTAACCCCATGTACAACACATTGCAATAGTCGATATGGGAGATGAGCAAATTATCAGGGACTGAGAAAAAGGCTTCCCAATGCAAGAAGGAGTGCAACTAATACACAAAATGAAGTTAAGCAAAGGCCCTCCTAGCCATAATTGATATAGATAAGATAGATAGACAGATAAGCTAAATAGATGTATATACAAATTTTATACCCATCTATTTCTCACACTAACTTATTTTTGTCCTTATTTTATGCTGTTTAAAATAAATATTTAGTTTAATTTTAGATGCATTGCATATCATGTCTTCAACCACTGTCCTATTTGCTCTCAGTAATGTATTCCAACAACAGTTATTATGAATGAAAGGAGAGAATAAACTGAATACTGCTCCTTAGGAAATGCATATTTTAACTCCAACATGCCAACGTGTAAAATATACATGTACAAATATTATCACATACAAGTTAATTATAAAAGAAACAGTACCCTGTGGATCAGTTTAAGTTGTGCAGTCCCCAGATCCAAGTATCTGAAAGGTCACACAATGGTATGATTTTTGTCAAAAATGGAGAATCACCTGGTATTATCTCATTGAAATAAAGGTGGCCCCTGAGCATGTTATCAGGTTGAAGAGGTCCTTTTGCTAAGTGCTTCAGGCCCCCAAAACATAATATTGCATGTAATTCTCCAAATTACGCTGTATACTTTATTCTTTCATATGTTTAATAGATTTCATTACTTTCCATCCCAAGTATATTAAATTTAGGAACTGAAAAACTGTGGTTTAATCCTCATAGCTTAGTTTGCCAATAAATAAATAAAAATAAAGATTAGGAATCATGAATTATTATTAGATTTCTATATCACCTTTATTTATACAGCTCAAAGTGTCATACATAATGCTTCTGCCTATTTCCTCACAAGCATCCCATAAGCTGGGTTGAACTGAATAAGAGCATCCAGTCCAAAATCACCCAACCAAGCTTTAGAATAGAATAGAATAGAATAGAATAATTTATTGGCAAAGTGCAATTGGACACACAAGGAATTGGTTTTTGGTGCATATGCTCTCAGTGTACATAAAAGAAAAGATACATTCGTCAAGAATCATAAAGTACAAAACTTAATAATAGTCAGAGTACAAATAAGCAATCAAATCACATTATGAAACAATCAATATAAACCATAAGGATACAAGCAACAGTTA